TAAAAACCATAGTAGCTTCAGAAATAGGCTTATTTTTATCTTTTGTCTTTTCAGATCATATTTTTGGTCTTAGTTTCGAAGCTGTACTTAGATAGTATCTTATTTTCCTTTCGAAGTTTGGCTTTGCTTTTTCAAAACCTTAAAGTGTCACGTAATCAAAATTGGTTTTACTGTGGCGATTCAGGTTGTAAAAACCTCTTGTTTGTTGAAGGTGACATAGTGCTCAATCACAATATTCACTCTTTCATGTAATTTTTTGTTTCCCCGAATATATGGTGTAAATGGCAATAAAGAAATGGTATAATGTTTCTTCAAGTACAAGCCACGTCGCTACAGTAAAACAAAACTAGCTTATTCTTCAAAAATGAACCCTTTTTAATTTGTGTCATGACGTAGCAAAGGCCATTTTTGGGTTTTAGTTCAATGCTGTTCCTGTTTTAGATTTCAGATAGTATCTTATGTCCATTTTTGAAGTTAGACTGTGAGAATCCGACTATTACAAAAATGTGATTTTTTCAAAACCTTTGAATTAGCAAATTGGTTTTACTGTGGCGATCCAGGTTATTTATTCCTGTAATCATCTCTTGGTTGTTGAAGTTGTGAAAACCAATATTTACTCTTTTTTGTTCCCCCGAATATATTAGTGCAGTTTTCAATACAGAAATAGTATAGAAGTATCTCCAAGTATCGGAGATATGAGTGACCGACTAGAAGATGTAATCAGAGGATGTGTGAGACAATTTGCCTCAACTGTTGATTTCAAAACCTTTGCACAATCTGGGAACGGACTCTCACTCAGTGTGCAAGATGTCACTACGGTCATTGAAAACCACAGATTCTCTGTGAAGAACAGAAGAAGAAATTGTTTCTGGCTTTGGGTTGAAAGAAACCGACCGAATGTAACTGCACAAAGGATAAGGAATCTTGTTACGCAATACCATGCAGCTGAACAACATGGCGCTGCCGCCCCTATTGACAGACTTGAAGATGTTTTTCAAGATGTTATTAAACGATTTACATCCAAGGATTTCAAGCAGTTTGCAAGATCAGGCCAGGGATTATCTCTTACTGAGCATGAAGTTGACACTGTCACAGAAAATAATAGATTCTCAGTGGAAGAGCGCAACCTTAAATTACTGTGGAAATGGAGACATTCTAAGTATCCAAATACTGATGATGCAGCTGTGATAGAAAGAATAAGAGCAGTGGTTGGACTTTATGTTCAAGATGCAAATCAAGTAGAGGAAGAGCAGATCATTCAGGAAGATGGAGACAGAATGTTGGAATCATTCAAAAAACTTTCTGTGAAACCAACTCAAACAACTGAAGTTTCAGAAGAAAAAGAATTTCTTGAAGTCGTGAAAAATTATACAAAGCAGATGTTGGAATCTAGATTGAAATCCGCCAGTGAAAAAACAAAAAATGGATGATTTTATATTTCCCAAGGTTACCGAGTTTAAGGAATCCGAATCCAACAAACAGAGTAGTTTGCAATCAGTGGATATCACGAAGATTCATTATGATAACTTAGTCAACCGTGTGATGTTACTAGGAGACACGGGCTCTGGAAAAACAACATTCTCGATGAAATATGCATTGTCAGCACTGGAAAATAAATTAAACTTTTCGAATGAAATTAAGATGGTCTATTTTGTGGATGTTTCTAATTTACAAGGTGATTCCCAATCAACCGCTTTTGATCTTTTATTCGTTCAACAACTTGGTTCGAAACTTCCCGAGCATCTCCATCGTGTTGGACAAAAGTGGTTGAAACTGAATTCAAAGCATATTCTACTTGTGGTTGATGGGTTGGACCAGAGTCTGAAGCCTTTTGCAAATAATTATGGAAGAATTGGAGTGGACACTCTAGCGGAAACCAACACTATTCTCGCTAATATTTATCTGGCCACATGTACCCAGGAATGAAGATTTTGTCAACGACTCGTTGGAATGTTTATTGGAAGTTGCCTCCATCTATCAAGGCCACCTTGAATCTCACCTTAGGGGGATGGGATGATAAAACACTGGAACTTCTTGCTGGAAAGTTATTTAGTCCTGACGCAAGAAAAATATTTGATGATTTGAGACGTAAAGCACCAGGTTTTGTTTCAAATCCGATGTTTTTTTTCTACTTGGTTCGAGTTTTAAAAGATTTCAAAGAAAGCGATGTTGATACTTTAACAAATCTGATGGTTTCTGTTTTGAACCTTTTTTCAGGATCTCGTCATGGACAAAATGTCGGAAGTCTGTTATTGGAACTCATGAAGTTGGCTTACCACGGAATGATAGAGAATCGATTTGTTTTCACTGCAAGCTATATTAGATCACTTAAGTTGAATATGAATGACATGCGTGGTCTTGTTGAGATGGATGCTGACACTCGATTTGTTGAGTATGTTGCGGGTGACGACGACATCAGCTTACGGTTTTCACACCAGAGTATAGGAGAGATACTTGCTGCCCTGTATGCCTGTACTCTTGATTTGGATGAATACAAGAAGTTTATCGAGAATTATTATAATAAACCAGGAATGGAAGTCGTTATAAAACATACTTTTGGAATTATTCTCAACAAATCAACTTCAGAAAAAGCAGCAAAATATCTTCCTGATAACTTGCATATCAAGTCTGAATACCTGATGGGCTACTTGGATAAATTTTTGAAAGGAAGAGTCATTTCAGATAAACGAGTCGTGACTTTATTACTTGAATGTGGTCCTGATGTGATCAAGAAAGTTTGCTCACAAATAGAAGAGATGGAGTTGAGGTCACTCCAACCTGGAGAACAGCATGCAGTGATGTCTGTTGCTGAGCATAGTCCTTTACTTCATACTTTGAAACTATTAGAATTGGAAATACATCCTGAAAATTATTCTTCTCTGCAACATGTTCTTGGTTCTGTGGAGAATGTTCATGTGGAATTCTTCCATCTTATCAATTGTGATTCTGAGGCTGAGAATCTTCGAATCCTGAATGAAGCCGTGATGAAGGGAAACCCTAAGATTGAGAGGGCCTCACAATAAGAGAAAGTCCAGCACTTGAACTTCCTGGTTATTCTTATCTAATTGGATTGGTTTGTCATGGTGGTGCAAAAATGCTTGAACTGAATGACTGTGACCTGAATACAGAAAAAATAAGTAAGATGAATCAAGCAGTCATTGAATATGGTGTCAAGTTGTATTTATTGAATATTGCTAATAATCCTAACATGGATGCAGAAGCATTTCAACAACTGGTAAAGTTACTGAAAATACTGAGGCAAAGTATCTGTGGGCACAACATTGCACTCCAACAATTGAGCAGTTATCAGCTCTTTGTACAAGTTTAGAAAATGAAGATGTCAAGTTGTCTCTCTTACGCCTAAAAAGACCAACTACAGAATCCCTCACTGATGATGAACTGATGATTGTTTCTAGATTGGTTCAGAGGGTGGGAGAGCTCATGTTCTTTTGTCAAAAGTTGCCCGAGTCAAAGATGGAATTTCTGATTAAGGAAACTGTGAGACTTTGTCCAAGTGCAAAGATAGATAGTGAAATATGGGGTTTCTGTATACATAATCCAATCTTATCCCCGTTTGGATTTGAAATATTAATTCAAAATTTTCTGAACAAGCACAGCAAAGCATAGGTTTCCAAGCATGAAGCGTACATAGATATTTCACAAATATCCAACCTATTTATAATTAACTCAGAAACAAAGAATACTGTCCTTTGGGGTGCGAAATACTTCAAAAAATATAGGTTGGAGTTTCCATTTAAACTTTCTACTTCAAACCACAGAATACTGTTGAATACCAGGCAATTCTGCATTTCATTTGTGAGGCCTACACTTTAAATCAAGGAATCAGACTAATATTATAACTGATATATTTATTCTGAATTTTATTGTGATGATTAAATTTATTTGAAGCTTATTATTCTCCATATTTTGATCCTGACTTGATAGAACAGCCACTTGGATATTCATATCCTTAAAATAAAGTGAGAATCATATGTTCTATGTTTCAATATATTTTCATGTTCATTTATAATCTTAGACTCTTTTCATTCATTTTTTTTTCATATTTCCAATCATGTAATATTTATATTACTTACCGTTTCCCTGGGCATGATAATGGTTTCAATACATGGAATGAGAATTTTTTATATTTATCCTGAGAAAGAGATAATCAACGAGCTGACACTCTGACATATATATCCTTAAATTGAACTCAGATTCTTGAATATTATGATTGTTCCATGTGTATTTATTCAGTATATCTGACTCTCACTTAATAGAACATCCACTTGGATATGTGAGGTCTTAAATTAAACTGAGTCATATGTTAATAATTAGTGTTTCAATATATTTTCAGTGTGTGTTTATAATCTTCAACTATCTTCATTATATTCTTATTTTTAAGCACATAATTGGTATATTGCTTACTGTTGTATTCTTACTGTTTACCAAGCATGATAATGTTTCAAAACATATATTAATTCTGAGAAAGAGAAAGCAGATAATATTATAAATATTTTAATTTTTTGATGATTGTTATTATTCGATATATTTGACAAGCATATCCATAAATAAACTGAGAATTATACATTCTTTAAATATTGTGACAATGTTATTTCAGTGTGTGTTTACAATCTCCCATATTTTTATTAAGTAGGTTTTGTAATTGTTATGCAACTGTTTTGTGAGGTAAAATTAAATTTATCATCATTTTTCTGTAATAATTTCTGATCCCTAATACAACCAATATGTCACAATTCTATTTATAACCACTGCTCTATGTTGCTGAAGCATGCGCCTCCATATTCATGATGCCATATGATTCTTGTATAATTTAACATATCCAATACATTCTTTTATTGCTGTAAATATTGACTAATCTGTGTGTTCTTGTGATTTTAGCCTTAGCTTACTGTAGGCGATGATATATTGAGCCATGTTTCTACAAGAGCATTTTGGGATTTATAACTCATATAGAGATGTAACCTGGATATACTGGGCCTATTGAGAGTAGCTGAACAGTCCAGTGAATGAAACGAGTAAGTCTTGAATGGTTTTTATATTTAATTTTAAATATCATTTAATTTGGAGGATTTTTCTGGATGTAATATCTATTCGATGTTGCGGAAATGGCATAATACATACAAATGTCCTATTTGATATTGCCTCGAGCAAATGGATATGAATACAGATATAAAATGCTATTTTTTCTGTTCGGAATAAGAATGGATATAATATGGTCTCAATCGCCATTTGAATGGCTTCTTCCGCAGAGGGTTATTGTGCTACCATATGGTTATTGTGCAGCAGTGTTCACTTCAACTGTATTTCGCAATAAGGGAACATTAGAATATTTGTAAATTCATCAGTATAAGCAGGGATTCCATCGATCTCGAACCCGAAATAAAGATGACTGGAGAAATTTCTGTATTGTGAGCAGAAATAGCTGGCTTTCCTATGACCTCCAGGTTAATGTCACAATTACAGATGTCACAGTGTGCGAAGCACTCACCCTTCAAGCTTCGTTTAACTTTGAATTCTTTCCTGTACGCATCACGAAAAACGTTCTTACATTTGAGCATTTTTAAATTTAGGCTGAAATAAGATTGAAATGAAATTATGTGTTACTGTACATATAAAATAATATTAAAACACTGTACACAATATTAGCACAATAAAGCACTTTACAGTACACTGAGTCACACTGTATTTTAGGGTGATAGTGAATCTTTTGGGACATATCAACCACCACCACGACAAAAGGATCGCCACACTAGTAATGCTTCATGCCTATCTGTGCTTTGCTTCCTTGTGTTCCAAATAAGATTCTGTTGCTTCTATGACGCCACAATTAAGCTGTGGCGATAAAACAAACAAATCTTAGAAAGAGGGACGGTATGGAATCCCTGAGTATAAGAATTTGTAATTTCCACAAAATCTTTTATTTTTTAATAAATAATCGTATTTGCTACGTCGATTTTATGCATTTGTACCCCACAACTAATCGATCGACTAACGAAAAACTAATGATCCTCTGCTGCCCAATGACGGCTCGTTGGCAAGCTTATTTAAAGAGCTTGCAATAGGCGATTAAAATAAAAAGGGATTTCAAAGTGGTGGTCTGAGTCACAAACCGGATAGAAAAAAGGCATTTTTTTTCTTTGGAGTTGAAACTTCAAACCGTGATAAAAAATATAAATATTCGCTAAATCCTTTACTGTTACCGCTTCGTGGTTAGCAAACAATAGCATAATATTGCTGTAGCAATTTCGTGATCTAACTCAAAATACTTTGGTAGATGGAAGGGATAATATGTCTCCTATTACCACCCGAAAAACCCTCCCTCGTTCCGCCGCAAATAAAATTCCCGTCGTAAACGAAAGCGAGATTTACCGTCACTTATGTTAATCTCGAAGAAGACTTCTTATCAATGAACTAAAACCCGGAAAAACTAGACCAACAGTTTGCGACCGATTGCTAAATAGAACAGTGGAGTACATCAACGTACCTGCCGCAATCTAGCGACTTTTGTCGTTGGTACGTATACCTGCCCAGCGCACGGAAAGGGTTAATGGAAAGGGTTAAAATCGGTGCTTTGGTTCACAAAAGCAAAATAGATTCTGCCAAGTTTTTAAGCTGTAGTACTTCCCACAAACATAATTGCTATGAGTAACACTTTCATACCAATGAAATAATCAGTAAAATAAAGAAGATTTTGACTTGGTTGCGGCTTTTTTACCAAAATCAGGGAGAAAACCATATAGGCATTTGGCTCACTTACATTGGAATGGAAGGGTCAAGATTCGGATTTCTGATTTACCGGGAGGTGGGGGGGGGGGGGGGGGGTGTGTGTAAATTTTCTTCGTTTCCCCAGTATTATTTAAATGTCCATATCTAATAAATCAGGGCAAACTTAAAAAACCATGTCACAATTTTTCTAATTATTCACCATGAAATGAATTATTTAGTGCTTGTAACAGAAGCCAACAACCCCCCCCCCCTTTTCTCGTTAAATAATTATTTCTTTCCTGCTCAGAAGATCTCGCCAGACATGCTGGAGGATGACAATTTCTTTGACCTTATCCCAAGACTTCAAGGTCGTAGGATGGACGATCAACGATGTGAAATGAGAGACGACCAATATGAATTATCAGCTTTTTTAAAACCTAACTCCCCAGACCCCCCTCAAATCATCACCCAGCAATGGGGTAGTGGGGGAACGAGAACCCATTAGGAATGATGGGGGTGAGTGTTCTTTCATTATTTTTAAAAATGTTGCGGGTAACGGAGAAGCAGTAATTTTCATGGACGCATGACTACAACGCTAACGCTGAAAAAAACATTTTTTTAATTAATGGACTTTGTTGTTATTGTTGTGGAAAAATCGTCTTTCATTACTTGACCAATTGCTTTGATATTTTCTGCGATTAAAGATTATATTTTGCTGGAAGGGTATTTTATCTATTTCAAAAAATCAGGTGGGCTTTATTATGGGATTTGTTTTCCCCCATAAAATTTTGTGAGGTCATGTCATCGAAATAATACAAAAAATTATTTCGCACCTAGTTGCAGTTCCACCTTCTCAATCGTTGCATTCTGGTAGTCAGTCAGTTGAGAAGACCACAGTACCGGTATTTTTCGCTAGAAGGCCATTATGTCTATTTGTTCCTAAATTTTATGTGAGATCTGATATTTCATCTGAAATGCGGTACTATTACGAATACTATTTTATGACATCGTGATGACTGCCTTCCACGTCTTTATGGCATCGTGATTGCTGGTACGTAATCTAGTGTGAAAGATTGCTGCCCATACCCGTATCCATATATTTGAGCATCGTTCTCTTATTCTCTTAGACGGCCAACATCAGCAAATTTCAACAATGATGAATATGTTAGCAAACTCATGATCAAAACGTATGCATGAGCAAAGGGTAAGTCTCTCTGGACTTCCTGGGTTAAGGGTCAACGATGACATCGACGGCGAAGGAGTCGTCAATCTGCAACAACCAGATGGCGCTGCAGCTCTATTACCAGGTATAGTGTTTTTATACAACACATCTTCCACTCTGAATTAGGTCCTAAACAAGCAAATATGAGTCTCATTTTTTCTGAGAAAGTGCACATAGCCTTGCTTTTAGCTGATATCATTACAACGCTCGTCGTAAATGGTATTGAATTTGTAGGTGATTTTCTGGAGGCAATATCGTTTTTCCTTTTTTTCTGCTTAGCCATATATATTTAAGAGTCTATTCGATATTGCGGAAATGGCATAATACGAATGTTGTCCTATTTGATATTGGCTCAGCGTAAATAGAGATAAAACTGCACTTAATAATAACTAGGGCTGTCCAAAATTGAATCTTTTTTTGATTCGAATCGAATATTATTGCGCAATCCCATATTTGTCTCTATTGTACAATAAAAACTTCCTCTTCGATATTGTGATAACTTATGTGTAGTTACATCTAAATTATTGCTAATATTTTGCATAGTAACTATGTTTCCAAAGTTATAAAAGGAGATCACAAGCCTCCTTGAACTGGTCATAAAAATTAGGGTTTCGAAAACTATCAAGTTTTAAGAGTTGGAAATTGCACAGACTCTTTTAATGGATTCAGTTTCAATAGGGCAATGAAAGACCGTAGCTACCTATTATTATCAGTATTATTAACTCAAGATTTTTTATGTAATTTTCAGTAAAATGCTAAACAACTATTAATATAGATATAACTGTAGCCCAAAAAATTTAAAATTGAATTTTGGGAACTCACAAATTCAGAGCTAGTTTGATGACATTATTTGTTGATGACCATATTATTGTTGTAATTATTAAATGGATGATCAAAGTATTGCCATTAGAAGAAATTCTATTGAAAAAAGGGATTGGACCTCCAAAACGTGTTTCAGCCCTGTACCATGTTTCTATGATTACTGACTCAACAGCTACAAATCAATTCTATTTATAGAACTGTCGTTTTTGCTGACACTAAATTTGCCTTTTTCTCCTTGTGTTCTCTCTAAATACGTCATCTTTAAATCTTTGTTACCGATAACTTTTCATTTATGACCATGCATGGAATGCATAATTACATGTCACTGGGCAATAGGAGACACCTTTTTACAGCATAGAAAGCGATAGAAACATTGTTTTTGCTTGCTCGGTGAAAAACGCAGTGCAAAGGTGGTCGTGAGGCGCATTATGTACCAAATTTCAGCGATTCGATTTTGAATATTCGGTTCGCTTGGACAGCCCTAATGATAACCAATATTTTTTATGTTTTACTTTTGAATAAAAAATCCTTCTCAAAATTTGAAATTCATCCTCAGTGTCAAACTGCTGTCACTTTAGTGCGATCAGAGTTATGCGTGTATAAACCGACTCTTAGCTTGGGAACTTTTTATTTTGAGTTTTAAATCGGCTTATTTGCGATGATATACAGTATACGCTTTTGACCCTCAAACAAGGCTGGGAGTAAATTTCCTCCGTTTTCTCAGCATTATTTAAATGTCCATAACAAATGATCATGGCAAACTAAAAACACAATCTCTCAATTTTTTTAATTACTCATATGAAAATGAAAAGGAATTATTTAGTGCTTGTAACAGGAGCCAATTCTTTATCCCCCTTCCCCCCACATCAAATAAAAATTTCTTTCCTGCTCAGAAGATCTCGCCAGACATGCTGGAGGATGACAACTTCTTTGACCTTATCACAAGACTTCAAGGTCGTAGGATGGACGACCAACGATGTGAAATGAGAGACGACCAATATGAGTTACCAGCGTTTTTAAGACCTAACGCCCCAGACCCTCCCTCAAATCATCACCCCGCAATGGGGCAATGGGGGGACGATAACCCATTGGAAATGATGGGGGTGAGTGTTCTTTTATTATTTTTTTTGAAAAACTGAGAAACAGTCATTTTCGTGGGCATGGTCACAACAACATTGCTATCGATGATAAATAAAGCACAGTCAGTTTTATGAATATACCTGGTGGCAATCATACAGTGTTTTGTTACTATGTTGTTCTCTATTTCATGTTGTTAATTGTTTTGAAATTTTCAGTGGTTAAAGGTTGTATTTTTCACTAAGCGGATATTTTATTTATTTCAAAAACTCTCTGGGATTCGTTTTTCATTATGACATTTTGAGAGGTCATGTCGTCGAAATTAATATTTACGCACCTTGTTGGGGTTCTGCATTCACATTTGTTACATCCTGGTGGTCAGTCGAAGTCGTGAAGACTGCAGTGCCGGTATTTTTTGCTAGAATGCTATTACTTGTATTTGTTCCTGAATTTTTCTGTGAGATTTGATATTTCATCCAAAATCCGCTATAGTTTTTATTTATGGGAACATGTTTTTATGACATCGTGATGACTGCCTTCCTCGTTTTATGACATCGTGACAGCGGGTAACATAGTATACTGTAATAGATTGCTACACTCGTACTACTTTGTTTATGTCTTTGTGTCCATATGTTTGAGCATCGTTCTCTTGTTCTCTTAGACGGTCAACATCAGCAAATTTCAACAATGATGAATATGTTAGCAAACTCGCAATCTAAACGCATGGATGGGCAAAGGGTGAGTCTCTCTGGACTTCCTGGGTTAAGGGTCAACGATGGGGTCAATGGCGAAGGAGTCGTCAATCTGCAACAACCAGATGGCGCTGCAGCTCCATTACCAGGTATAGTGTTTTTTTATACAACACATATTCACATCTTCCACTCTGAATTAGATCCTAAACAAGCAAATATGAGTCTCCTTTTTTTCTGAAAAAGTGCACATAGCCTCGGATTTAGCTGATATCATTACAATGCTCGTCCATAACTGTTTTAGGCAAGTGTGCATCACGCACCACTATCAGTCTTCAGAATAGGATTTTACAAATTTATCTCAAGGAGAGGAAAGCCGATAATGTGGATTAATCATATGGCGAACCACGGATTCTCATCAGGTTATCATTCCAGGTCAGGTATGGAATTGTTTAGCCAGTTATTTGTTCCAGAAGCATGGACTTGACAGTGGAGGAAGCGTGAACCACCCTAAGATGGTGGGAAGTCCAGTAATCCTCTCGCACATAATTTATCCAGCGTGGGATTCGAATCTTGGCAGCGGAATCAGAGGTGCAGTAACAAGCGTATTTCTAACGCTTAGCAGTGTGGTCAGTCTATGCCAGGGGTGGGCAACCTTTTTCGCCTCGCGTGCCAAAACCGGCTGAATTTAAAGGGAAAATTTGTAGCTATATGTCATGAAAAAGAGTTTGAATAAATAACGGATTGTTAACAAACGATAATGAATAAACGGATAATAAACCTAGTTTTCATCAGATAATTTAGAGTCTTGAAAGTTTTGATCCGAGGAGAATGATCTCGTTTCCAAGGTCTCGTGTGCCGAACAAATAGGTTGCCCACCCATGGTATATGCAATCAAGTAGCACTTTGCCATTTCAGGGGTTGCTTGTAACTTCGTTCAGTTATTTCCGAGCGAGTAAAAGTGACCTCTCTTAGAGAAATTTCCCTAAAAAAGCAAAGTTTTCAGTTGTTGTCATTCTTCCTTTTCAGTAGCTCTTCGACCAAGACTGGAAAACGGTGGAATACCAGGAAATGAAAACAGACATTCACTCGATGACACATTTTTTAACGCTCTCATGAGATGCCAGGTGAGTGTTTTGTGAGGAGTTTTTTTCAATTTCACTCTGACAAAGACGTAAGAGGAGTCTACTATACTCATCAGTAGGGCTGGACATTTCTAATCAATTAATAAATTATTAGGTACTCCTGTAGTATGTGAACCAACATGGCGGACATCGGAACGTAGTATGTGTACCAGGTTAGGGTTAGGCCATAATTTTATTCCAGTTTCTTTATTTTAGTTCTATTACGAGTTCGGGGACTAGCCAAGTTATGAAATTAAGGCTTAACCCTAACCTGGTACACATACTACGTTCCAGTGTCCGCCATCTTGGTTTACATACTACGGGAGTACCAATTATTCGCATCGGTTTAGACGGCCGCCATCTTGTTTTTGTCCACCCGCAGGTCGAGATGAATCCCTCATTTTTTTATTCATGTCAAATTTTAAAATGCAATCATGTCATATAAGTGAGTTATTGATGAAACATATTTCCTATTGTGTGTGAACTGTCCAGGTGATAGATTACGTGTTTTCAGTTATGTGAACCCATAACAATATAACAGCCACATACAGTCTTCCAAGTATTCGAGATTCAATTCGAAAAAATTTTTGATTTGATTCTGAAATCATCAGATATTCGAAAATGCCCAGTTCTACTCATGAGTGAGTGCAAGTCACCTTGATTTGAGCAAAAAAAAAATAGGTACGGTACTCTTGTAGTGTGTGAACCAAGATGGCGGACACTGGAACGTAGTATGTGTACCGGTTTAGGATTAGGCCATAATATCAGATACAGATCTAAAATAAGGAGAATTGGAATAAAATAATGGCCTAATCCTAACCTGGTACACTTACTACGTTCCGGTGTTCGCCATCTTGGTTCACATACTACGGGAGTACCCAAGAATCTATTCTATAAGGCTACAATTTTTGATCAGAACCTAATCAAAATGAAATATTTAGACCTAATTTTTTTTTGTTTGTTTCAGAGCACGAAGTAAAATGACCAGCGCTCGTCACCTCCCATATTCGACGCTCTGGTGCTGCTAACACCCACTATCCCAGACGAAGATTGATTGTTCGAATGCAGTCGTCAAGAATCGAGGACCAGCGCTGTCGTTTTAGCCCTGAAAAAGAATCCCCTCATAATGTGGACCCCGATAATGACGACATATCACAGTAAATGTGGGACATATTTCGATGCCCACTGTGGCACTAAATGGTTGTTGTAAGTTTGTTCCGTGGCATTTTTGTGATTCCTTGCGATGTTTTTCACTCAGTGGCATCAGATATGTGCCATGCCACTTGTCATGCCGCACCTCACATCTTGCTGTGTTTTATTACATGAGAGCCATGGCACCTACCAAACGACATAGAATAGCCACCATTGTTTTGCTCATCGTGTTTTAAAACAATGACGTTTTATAAAAATTGTGGCATCAAAAGTGTACTAATGCCATGTAACATGGTTCCTGTGTTTCAGGCAGTGGCAACAAAACAAACCATGCCACCTACTAGCGTGGCATGGAGAGAATTATTTCCATTGGAAGGACACACACTGCCCTGAGACTTTGGAGACACTGAGGCATTTAATAATGCCTTGAAATCAATTTGATGCCCCATTTAAATGTCATGCTGCCATAGTAAATATCATCCAACTATGGGTTTAGGGATTGACCTCCCATTTTCTTTGTCATGGTTAAGATGCCACTAACTTCCTGTGCCACCATTGAAGATGTTTTTGCTGCCATGTAGTGATTTTATTTCTAATTATGTCACGCTTGAGCTAACATTGTGCAGTTGTAGAAATGAAATATTGATTATGCATCATAAATATATCCGAATATCGAATGATTCGAATATCTACTTCCAGAGCCATAAAGTTGAGGGTTTCAAAATATCGATGAAATCGTGTCAAACTCTCACCCTACAGGCTGGCCTTCATTACTAACATCGGTGAAAAAATTTAATAATCAAAACTTACAACTCTTCTACACATTAGCTGCTTTAATAGTTTTTTATTTCAATTTTGTGTCTGTTTATTGTGTTTAGAAAACTTCAATACGATTTTCTTTGATATTAATCATTGAGGCGTGTCTGGTCAGAATAATCTAATGCTAATGTAATGGTGGCAGTGCTGCTATTTTCAAGCTTCAATACTATTTCCTTTAATATTAATTATTAAGGCGTGACTGGCCAGAATATTCCCATGCTCATGTAATGGTGTCAGTGCTGCTATTTTCAAACTTCAGTACAATTTCTTTTAATATAACCATTGAGGCGTGTCTGGTCAGAATTATCTAATGCTAGTATAAAGGTGTCAGTGCTGCTATTTTCAAACTCCCTTATTTTTGATGTTGAATCACACTGAAGTTAACTTGACCTCTTTTTTTAACTGCTGCATAGTTTTTTAATGTGAATATTGTTTCAAATTTCATTTTCTATGATCGTAATTTTCAAAAATTCGAATCTGGAAAAATTTAGTAATTCATCTTTCTCATACCTGATTTAAGACCAGGGCTTCAGAGCCGGTGAAATTTATAATCGACTGCAAGTTTCCTTAATTGTTTATTTAAAACGGTGAGGTAAAGCATACCCTCTAAAAATGGCTCGGAACGATAATTTTTTTCGTGTGTGTGTGTGCACTCTTATTGTGAAAACGTTAGTTTGAGTACTAACTTCTCATTCACCGCTATGTTTCTTTATCATAGATGTGAGATAGCTTTGGCAATACAGTGGTTGCCTCTAAGTTCACTAAAAAATGAGGATACGTTGCTTCTGAGTGAGTGTAAACACCTTGCTTTGAGCAAATTATTTCTCAGTCAAGTCGCTTCTGTACCGGGTCAAGGTTGATGTTTAATTAATTCAACTTTTTTCATTTTCTTCTTGTTTTATTAACACTGTACTTCTTAGCCCGGTGATGTTTATTCATTTTGAACTAATTTTTTTTTTTTTTTTCTTATTTTTATTCATTTTTGAGTGAATTCTGTTAAGAAAAAAGGGTGGCGTTCTCTTCAATGCATAATTTGCAATTCCGAATCCAAAATGTTTCTGAATCTGAATGTATCAGGCCATGTTCGGAAACATTTTTCCACAAATTATTGGGCATTCCAGAAGTATGTGTACTAAAATGGAGATATCTAATTTTGTTCGCCTGTTTTACATCAAGTTGTGTAAAGGGACTGAAACCTAAGGACAGGGAGTATATACACTTGACTAATACAAACAGTTTCCGGGACTCTTAATAGAACTAAAATAAGGAAAATTGGAATAAAATTATGGCCTAACTCTGGCCTGGTACACATACTATATAATAAAAATTATGAATGAATAGCCCTAGTTTTTGTAGCAAGATAACTCTTTATAACTAAATAATGTTTTAATCATGGTTTTTCTGCAAAAGAATAGGTTGCATAGAGCCCCATATTATGATCAGCGCTAGTAATTGTAGCAAGATTGCCCCCTTTTTGATAAAATTATGTTTTAATAATTATTACATCTTTCTGAGTTCTGACATTAGAGTAGATGTTCAGACTCCGAGGAGGTTCGAGTTTGATGGAAAGGATGCAAAACGGTTCTTTCAATGCTAAAGGTTGCTGACCCCTGCACTAGGCCATTATGCTGATAGTATTTATAGATTAGTATTAAATCATGATTTCTGTTATTTTTCAAATTTTTTTTTTGCTAAATTTATTCCTAATCATGTTTGTAAATACTATATTTCTAATTAAAAATGTTATCATTTTTTTTGTTAAAAGTCGCTTTCCCTGGTTGCGATAATCACACATTAGTAGTTACCCTGGCGCAGCAGTTCCTAACAAGGGGCCGTCGCTGTCAAATAGGGGTCACAAGGTGCAGAACTCCCGGTTCGATATTGCCTACCCAGTTTCTTATACACTTGTCAGGGTGGCTAACATGAGGTTTGAACCTGGGATCTCTAACTTGTGTCCAGCCAATACTGCCAGGTGCCACATCTTTTGCTGTGATTATCAGATTTTTTATGTGTTCGCAACTTTTATTGTTTCCTTTACTGAAGGTTTGGCAAGTTTCTGTATGTGCCGACGCAAATTTACAATAATTAAAGCAAAATGTGGTTGATATGCAGGTTGATTGATTTGTTTTTTGAAGGGGAAGTTCTGGAACAAGTCGGGAATTTAGATTTCTAATTGTTAACTTGACAAAGCTTTCTAAATTGACAGTTACAGGAGGTTTGCATATGCCGAGGTATTTGGATCAAAAATTTGATTATTCTGGAGCCCAGAGCTGGAGTCGAAAAATTTCTTTTGACCTGGAAGTTTGAGTTAAATTGGTCTATACCAGGGGTGGGCAACATACGGCCCGCGGGCCGGATCAGGCCCGCGACGAGATTTTGACCGGCCCGCTGACTGTATCCAACCGCACCCTGTAATGTGGCACTGTCAGTGCAAGCTGGTGAAATGAACAATTGCCTTAGTGAACAAACAATTGCGTTAGCACACTTGTTAAACAAACAATATAAGGTCAAAGCAGAAAGCGTTGTAAACATTCCATAAACATAATCTATATCCACATAAACAGATTTATTATTTTGTCAACCAAATACAAACAGTCATCAATACGAAAAAAATATATACCACAAATAAAATTGCTTTGGTATTGACGGGAGGGAGCGATACGACCATGAGGTCATCGAGGTCAACTCCCACCCTATTTTCTGAAGTGATTAGGTTTTACACAGAAGATGACTATTAGAAAAGTTGGACTGTCAAATAATACTTTTAAAAATTCGATGCAATCTCAGAAAACTATTGAGGGAGGGCATGTTTTATTGAGAAATCATATAATCAAAATCAAAGTTCTATATGCTTTAGATCAGGGGTTCCCAACCGTCGGTCCGTGGACCGGTGCCGGTCCGCGAGGCTTTTTTTTCGGTCCGCGGAAAATTTCATTTTGTTGTTTTTCTACCGTCTCAATCGCTTTACCGAAACCGAAAAGACGAAGTTACGTTGGTTTATTACGCAATTTCTCTTCCGCCATCATATTGCGGTTTGATAAGTGCGCGATGGCCCGGCGACGTATTGGCGCCGAGTAATCATACTTTTCGGTTCATCGCAAAAGCGCTCCGTCAAATCTCGCAAGATTCAGAACCCTGGAAATCAGCATGCGTGCTTTTTCCGTTCTGCATGCATTTTTTGATTAATAGGTCGAAGTTACGTTTGTTTATTACGAAATTTCTCTTCCGTGCCATATTGGTGTTTGATAAGTGCGGTATTAATGGCCCGGCGACGTCTTGGAAATGAGTAATCATACTTTTTGCTTTTTCGGTTCCGATTCATCGCGAAAGCGCTCCGCTCTGCTGCATGCTTTTCTTGATTAATCCAAATCCATCCAAATAAAAGGTTATGAATAATTCTTTGTTTAAACCAGAATGTATCAAGATAGACAGTATAATATTCCAGAGCATCACCATGAGCATTTAATAACGATTGGATACCGAAGTATTTTTTGTAATCATCCGGCCCGCCGAGTACTTCATTTTCCCAAATCTGGCCCGCCGACTAGAGAAATTGCCCACCCCTGGTCTATACAGACACCTAAGCAACTTCTTTAGTCGGCGGGCCAGATGTGGGAAAATGAAGTTCTCGGCGGGCCGGATTATAACATGAATAGTATTCAATATCTTAATCACATATTATTATTACAAAAAATTGAGACCAAAAAACACATAATGAATTTATCATAATGTACTAGGAGTGTTATAATGTAATATCCTGATGTACAGTCAGCAGGCCGGTCGCCGTATGTTGCCCATCCCTGCCTAAGATGATACTTAGATCTCCTAATATTGCTTCCCAAATTTGACTGACCAGGGCCAAAATTAAAAGAGGATGGATACTTATTTGCAAGAGGCTGTGATGCCAATTGGAACCGGAACCACTTCAACTTCAGCGATCCATATTAAATCGTTCCAGATCTCGGTTTGAGAGCGACTATTCTAATCCTTTGGAAAAATTGGCTCAATCTTATGACAAACTAGCAGACTTTTGCTTGGACATTTTAACCAGGTGACTGTACTAGTAGTCTGTCGCACAGTCCCGATCATGATTCTGAAATATATAAACGAGAATATCGGTCAGAGACCGAAGACTTATCGATCGAAAGTTTCCTTGTGTCCCATCACTAATTATTTAACTCGCTAATTATACGACATAATTCGCCCCAAAATCAATAGGCCTCTGGTCCGAAATATGATGAATGCACATGCAAAATCTGGAGCAGATTCAATCTTGCTTTCGTGAGATATCGCGTGCATCTAACAGACATACAGACAAATCCCTATCAACATACTTACCGATTAAAATCGATAAGTAATGAGCAGAAAGTTGTGATATAATCGAGCCATCTCTGTTTACCCTACGTAATTTCGCACCCAGTGGGGGATGCTGTATTTCTCTCTGCCACTTACTGGCTAACAAATTTAATCTCAACAACTTCCCTCTCTGGCACGATAAATACAAAAACACTATCATGCCATCCCATTGACAACTTTTTGAAATTCAAGTTTAATTTAAAATACAAGTACGGTAAGTGTTTTACAATTGACAAATCAGAAAATAAAAAAAATTTATCCACAGGTCATCTGATAGAATATGGGGCTTATAGATTTTTCACTATGTAGACTTTTTCGACCCTAAAGTGCCCTAAGACGGTTAGTATTATGATTTTCGAACACCTATGGGGTCGCTATTATGAATACATAAAAATAAAAATTGTAGACTTGAGGGGGTAAAAATGAGACTACGGCTCTAGTGAAAACTCCGTTACTCCTGAAGTATGTGAACCCAAGGTGGCGGACACCAGGTCGTACCAGTTTAAGCAATAATTTTATTCCAATTTTCTATATTCGTTCGGGGACTCCCGTAGTATTTGTGCCTGAGATTATGGCCTAACCCTAACTTCGTACACATACTACGTTCTGGTGTCTGTCATCTTGGTTCACATACTTCGGCAGTACCAACTCTCGTGCCTGGTTATAATGCTATCGCCCTATTTTTACAAGCGGCCACCGGCATCTAATGATATGGTTGGAACAACTTCTTATTTGGAAAAATGGTAAACGTAAGAAATTCTCTCATGTGCAAATCAATACCTGGGTGAAGTGGAACAAGATTCAAACTAGAAATGTGCAATCTGCGCTTAAACCAACAAATTTGAAATATTTGTACGTAAAAACATTTTCTCACAGCTTTTTGAACTGATCGTAATGACATGAACTGCCCATGTCTTGCCTCAACCAGTGAGTACTCCCGTAGTATGTGTACCGGGTTAGGGTTAGGCCATAGCTTTATTCCAATTTTCATTCTATTACGAGTTCGAGGATTGTCTGTGTTAGCCAAGTGAATATACCCCATGCCCATAGGTTTCAGTCCTTTTGCACAACTTGATGTAAAATAGGCAACAAAATTAGTTACCCCCATATTAGTACACACACTTCTGGAGTGCCAATCAGTGTTCATGAGCGATGAATTCAAACTATAATATGACTTTGCTATAATCCTTCATTATCTCAGTAGCTCTTGGCACTTTAGGGGTCGTCTGTAACTTCACTCAGAACTTCTTCAGTTCCGGGTGAGCGCCTTGCTTTGAGCAAAATATTCAAAATAAAAATAAATATATATGTATAAAAGTTAAAAGGATGAGATTATTGTGTCATGTGGGTGGTCCTGGCAGATCAGAAGAATGCTGGCTGTGATCTGTAAAAAGGAAAAGAAACTCCTTGAATATTTGTCATTCATTGCAAGGGTTGCATGCTGCGGGTCACAAGTCTATAATCTATAAAAACTGGCTAACGTATCCCATACCCAACAAGGACTGGTAACACTTTGTTTCTACCGTTTTAGGTTCAAGATACCACCAATTGTTATGTCATTATCACAGTTTGAGTGTATGTATAGTCATAACAGTGTAATTATATCTGTATCTTGATTATACGAACCAGTATCAACATCAGCCTCTTGCGGGCTCTCCCTTCTTAAAATAATTTAGAACTTACCGTGATCATTACAATCATGTTGTTTCGATCGTTTCTTCTGCGCTCGCTCTTTTTTCGTTTTCTTCTCGTAAGCATTGTCATCACTATCACTAGAATTATCATCTGACGACGAGTCCTCCCCAAATATCCGAGGTTTTTCATAAATACAACAACCTGTATGTAATATTTGAAAGTCTCAGTATGCTTGTGTTAGTTATTATTAAAAACTGATCCTACACAGAAAAAATACAAATGGCATAAATAAACAAAACATGGGGAATTGTAATATCTTCAACATGATAAACTTCTTTATCAGATTATTTTAACGTTTATTGAAACTTCAATGGCTGTGGTGTTTCTAATCTGGTCACCCTGGCTACAGTTACCACTTGTTTGCTCCGAAATGAATCTAGATTACTTCTAGCTGAGTGTGCATAATGGCCATACATAATTTTATGTGAGTTCCCTTGGCTTTTATTTCAGTGTTTCCCTGTCATTTTGCTTAGATATTAATCTGTTCTATTTCTGAGCAGAGACCTACCTTAATCGAGGTGTAGTCAAAAAATAATTTTCTTACATTTGGAAGATTTCTTTCCCATGTGTTCATTGTCAATCGTTTCCTCTGTCCATCGAACTTTTTGGTCAGACTGAGGTTTGCGAAGTTTCAAAACTACGCTCGGGCTCGATGGCTCCTGGAGAAAAAAAAATTGAACTGTTGTGTCGTTGGTTCAATTAAACAAACTCTGTTTGTTTCTGAAACGAGGGCACAACTGCAGATTGTGTCTTGCTTGTCTCAAAAATAATTTGAACCAATCGTGTCAGCCACCACATGATCTAAATTGTGTTTCTTTGCT